CCCGCCGTGCTGCGCTGCCTGCGCGCCGAGCGCTTCTCCGTGGGCGGCGCCGCCTTCCCGGCCGACTTCTGCGAGGGCACCTTGCCCTACTCGTACAACCTGTGCGTGGCGCCGGCACGCGCCGTGGCCGAGTGCGCTTTGGTGCCGGCGCCGCTGCCCAGCCGCGCCGTCGACGATCTTCTCAGCGGGGACGCGCCCGCCATGCTCACGCCCGGCAGCAGCTGTGCCCCRGCAGAGCCGTCCTCGGACCTCAACGCCGTGGAGGTATGTAGGACGAGACCAGTCCTCGSTCCTGTCCTTATCCTGTTATGAYCCTTKTTTGTACRTTGTAATTCTGATAATCTTGCGCAGCAATCGGTCTGTAAAATAACACTTTTTTTTTGATTCTGTTCCTTATCTTCACATCAAATATGTGTATTCGTGTGCTCCGTTTCCGGGGTACCGCCTGGCCATGGCATCTTTTGCCCTTTTCTGTTCCCTGCTGCAAATGGGAAGGGCTGATCCCTTCAGGAAGTGAAAGACAACATTGTCCGCGTCATTAGGAAACGCGCGAGTCGGCTTTCTTGGGAGGCTCTAGGCTTGGGAGAAGCGCTGCTTGAAGCGGTGAGCATTTGGAAAGGCGAAGGTGGATCCTCACTGTGTGTGGGTTGTTCCGGATCTTCTGTTTCTGCGTGTGGGAAGTGGGCGAATCGGAGTGAGATGTCAAGGCGAGACGAGTATTTTCGTTTCCTGGCTTTCCCTATGTGTTGAGTGCACCGAAGCCGGGTGTGCTCGTGCTGCTGAACATACAGAGTCTGGAGAAACGGGAAGGGCAGGAGAGGCAGTATGTATGTGCCCTGGGTAGACCCGTGACGCCTTATGTGTAAGTCGCTACCTGCCCTGCCTAGTCTTGGAGGAAGCCTGCTCCAGAAGTGTCAGCCCTCGTGGGACTCATCACTTTGGTTATGATGCCCCCTTCATGTATCCCTTTGAGATCCGATCCTCGATTCTTGCTCTGTGCAGCGGCCTCGCCTCGACAGCAGGACAGCTGATTCTCGTAGATATCTTGATCTCCTTTTTAGGAACAGAGTGATAGGGTAGGGAGCTGGTAGGGAAGACTTCGCATGGCATCAAAAATCCTAAACAGTAGGACCAGATTCATCACTTACAATGGTTCTGGATAGTTCAGACTCCTTTTTTTTTTTTTTTTCAGTTACTCTTTTATCCTTAGTAAGTTATTGTTTTATTAGAACCTCCAGCAACAGAAGATGGCCGAGATATTGTCGTGATTTATTAAATTGTAGTTTTAATGTCACAAAACATTTATTATATTTTTTAATAAATAAATATATTTATGTAAGGGAGAGGTATTATTTCACAGTCAACATTCATGAACGACTCCTTTGATTTCCTGATATCTTTGAATCTTTGAACATGCTTAGATGTTTGAATGTCCCTTTATATAATCTGAAATGGCTTTTAAAATGGCAGGAAAACAGCTTTGATCGATCACTCTATATTTTTATATATATGTAGAAAATGTAATGTGTATAATAGATATATAACGTCTTTAAGCTAGGTGTTTATTTTGAAAATAACTGCGAGTGTCCGAAATTTCTCTTGCTTTATAGAAGTTTTTGTCGTAGTAATCTTAAGTGGTATATTGAGTGAGATAGGATGCACTCCTGAAGGAGACATTATTTGATTGTCACTTCCACAGGTAGTTAGAGCAATTCGCACGAACAAATTTTCAAGCGCTGCTTGAAGCGGTGAGTGTCAGGAAGAGCGAAGGTGGATCTTTACAGTATGTTTGAGGTCTTGAAATGTAGTATTGCTGGTAGAACAGGTGGTTTCTGTTCTTTTGACAATGTATTCACTACTGGAACTGTGAATGTGCTTTGAATGGGACAATGATCGTTTGGCCGATCCCGTCCTTATCTCACACTGTCTGTGGTGACCCGGGCAAAAGTGACTCGTGTGGTTACTTTTTTTTTTTTTTTTTTTTTTTTTTTTACCGGGAAAGGGCTTTGTTCCCCCCCCTCCAACCTTCGCTTTGTTGCGTGAGAGGCAGAACTGTGTTCCTGGAATTGAAGTTGCTTGTCTTTCCATTTCCACTTTTGCCTTGTAAGAGTAGACGAGACACGACAGAAGAATAGGAAGAATTCCTCCCTCTGT